TTAGTCGCGAGCACTTCCGATTGCCTCAGACATCGCTTGACGAGCTGTGTTCGTTATTCGGGAAGCGTTGAGAAGGGAGCAGAAATGTGATGTGCGATTTATTGCGCATGGTAGAAATGTGACATCAGAATAAGGGAAACAAGCGCATAGGCTAGTAAAGAAATCGCGTCTTTTTGTGAAACTTTTTGTGTAACTTTTCAAGCTCTCCAATAGTGAGGCAGTAGGTTACTTACTTACAGGTATTTTAATTATTTATTATTTGCAGCTCAACACGAAAGCCTGGGGTCAAGTCAGTCCGGTGACCTCAATCTAGCCAATTATAAAATGGGCTAGTTCTGAAGGTGTTCAATCAAATGAATCCATCTCAAGCATACGCATAAGCATAATATATTTCATATTTTAACCACACTTCTTAAATGCTACGGCGTAACTGTTTACCATGTCTTGCAAATTTGACGTAGACTGACTGACGTCTTGCATCAGTTCACAGTCAATTGACATCAACGGCCTTTTTTAATGACGTTCAATCAAGCAAAAATGCAGTCACTAGCCCTGACCTTAGTATAAAAGTAGATATATCTTTATTGATAATTTGCGATAAATGCAATACCGAAGGCCAGTGCGCTAAAAACGAGCGCTAGTTTCTGCTGTATCGTTATTACTGCAACGGCAACCGCAAGGCAGCCACGTCCAATGCGAGCCGCCCCGGTCCGGCATCGGCCTTGGGTGCGGCGGCTACTGCCCCGTCGGCTCCACGCATCCGACTGACCGGCCAAGGTCACCGCTCCGTCCGCCGGGAGGGCGGAGCTAAATGGTCACGTGCCTGTGACGTCACACCTACGTACGGATAGCCTCTACTCCACTGACGGATTTACGGAGCTGATTTTAACATTACGAGGCAACGGCAAGTACCCTAACAATTGATATTTTGTTAAGAGACCATATTAGCGAAAATTGGCGCTTGAGCTGAAATGTGCTGTGCGAAAATTTGAAGCCAATTGGACAAATATTAAATAAATTATCGCCGAAAAACAGGGTCTCATGGGGTCTGAAATGCATAGTAGGTTGGATGTCAAGGCCACCTGAAGGTCAGGTCAGGTCATTGATCTATGGTGACCTTGGTTCACTTTTTCGAGTTTTACATGTTTCTAGGCAAGTCTTTCGAGCTGAATTCGAATTTATCAGTCATTTGAACATTTACGAAGTAGTTTTGGTGCCTTCGTATCATCAGCATCATTTACTGGGCTTTCCAGCTATTCAATACGTTGCTTCAGTAAAAAAAAAGCGCCGCCTTCCCTGTCCGAGCCTCATTCTCAGCTTCGGTTACCAGCCTGTCGCGCTCGGCCGCCGATCTCGCAGTAAATTCCGGTGTACCTATACCAGCAGGGGAGCGGGGCACGGGCCGGACAAACACCCTGCCGACGGATAATACACCCCGGACAGACATCCCGGACAGACACCACGGACAGACAGGACACCCCGGACAGACACCCCGGACAGACAAGACACCCCGGACAGACACCCCGGACAGACACCCCGGACAGACAGGACGACACCCCGGACATACAGACACCCCGGACAGACAGGACAGCCAGCTGGCGGCGCTGACGTCACGCGTACTACCCGTTTCCTTTCAGGGTGAGCTACCCCCCCCCCCCCCCCCAGATCGCGGGGCTACCTGGTGTCACAGCTGTTCCTAGCGTACGACACGCATTAGTGGTTCGGTGGCAGGCCGGCGGCTCTGCGAGTTTTTACATATACGGCAGAGAGGAGCCGGGCGGTTTTTATTGCTGGGGTCCGGGCCCCGCGCGCCGAAAAACGCGCCCTGCGAGACGCCGCCCGGCCGGCCGCCGCCGACAGTAGCCCTGGAACCGTTACACACATGCAGATAGGTATTGCGAAAGTGGCCAGGTATGCACTTACATGCATGTACCAGTACCTATGCATATAGGGGAGAGTGCATGGACCCACCGCACCGATGCGCGGTATACTTTCAAGACTGAGTGCACATGTAGGTATTCATTTTCCTGATTGATGCGTAATACTTGCGTTTGAGTTTATGACTACCGTACGATAAATCGAGCGTTATTGGTCGTGCCGCAGCCGGGGCATTCCAGGACGATTCAACAGGTGCATAACACCCGACCCCCTCAGATTTGCTTCTAAATTGCTGTACAGGGTTATTCTGTGCCCAGAAGCCGAATCTGAAATTGTCAGACCCGTAGAAGCAAAAGTTTTTGAGTTATAGCATTGGGAAATTTTGGAAAGTTAAAAAACATCATTGTATTTTAGTAGCTATATCTAATCGAAAACTTTTATTAAACTATAAAAATTATACATATTTGAACTCGCCACATCACAAGCTTTCTGATGGTATGCAAAATTTTTCAAAATTTTGAATTTTTAATTTTCCGAAAATTGTTCAAAAATTTATTTCAATTTTTTCAAAGTGTGGCCAGTTAAATAAAATTTATTTTTTTAGCTTTTATTAATGCTTTGGGTATTGGGAAACTATATTGTGAAAATTGGAGATAGGTATTTTTTATAAATATTTTATTTTATTTTTTTACTTTCTCCGTGTAAATATACCATTTTGCTTTGATATGGTGCCGACGGTGCTATCTCGGGAACGGATGATCGTAGCGCGCCGGACGAGGCGGCAATGGAAAGATCTCAACGAGATGGATCTAGACATTGTCCGAATGTTGTTCTTAAAGGTCACAGGTCAGGTCAAGGTCAGGTCAAAGACCAAAATTCCAGGCTCTCATTCCCCGGCTGCTCCTGAGGCACTTTCATAATGATGAAGCGATGTGAAAATCGCACAGCATGCGTCCAACATATTTATAAAGGCGGTGAATCAGTAAATATGCAATCACAAGGTGAGGTCAAGGTCAAAATCAGGTCACGAAAGGTCATGATGAATAAACAGGGATTAGGGACATGCGACACATGTTTTATGGGTTATTTTCCGATTCCAAGTCAATGGTGATGGGCATTTGACCATTCGGGACCAAATCAGGTCAGATTAGGCCAATGCCTAGGTCAATGTGTAAAGTTGCTGTTTCTATGTCGGCATTAAAATACCTACCTAATAAAATTGTATGATATATGGCTATACTAGAGTAATGAGTGAAATGAAATGAATAATTTTTACATTTGTCTCCGTTTCCAAATTTCCATTTGGCCCATCCCGAAACCTATCGCTATATCATCTGCGCCTGTGACAGACCAGTCACTGCGAGCTCGGCTCGCTCGAATGAGCCTTGACGCGGTGACAGACGACGCGCCGGTCCATGCGGTCAAAACAGCACAATAAAATCATCGGAATCATCGGTGTACTGGAGGGAGAATGGAGAGGGACAGCACCAGAGCTTCTGCATTATCTCAGATAATCAAAAGCACAACACGACCGCTGTCCATGCTTTCCAAAAGGCTCTGATTCCACGACTGAAGGAAAAAATTCCGTCTTTGACTAAAATCAGATACTTTTCAGACGGCTCAGCAGCACAGTACAAAAACCGCTTCAACTTTTCAAATATCTGCGCTCACAAAAGTGACTTTGGGCTAGACTGCGACTGGCAATTTTTTGCCACCTCGCACGGGAAAGGCGCATGTGACGGTGTGGGAGGCACCGTGAAGAGAGCGACCGCTCTCGAGAGTCTACGCAGGCCCACAAGGGAGCAAATCACAAACGCGACCGAAATGTTTGAGTTTTTAAGTGACAAATTCGAGACTACAGTGAACTTTGTATTCGGTGTCGAGGGTCGAAGTCGAAAAAGCTGCAGAACACCTCAAGGAGCGTTTCAGCAAAGCGGTGGCAGTGAAAGGCACGCAGAGTCTGCACTGCTTTATTCCGGTCAACCACGAGACACTGCGAGTCTCAAAGTTGTCAGGGGGACCAGGCCGGCTGGTGAAAGTGCAACGCAGTAGGGCACCGAAAAGACGAAAGTGAGCCCGCGTAGACTTGCTAGCACCCCTGCCGTGTGTCTGTATGGTGGCTGTCTGTGCACTGTATTGTTGGTGACATGTGTGCCCAATACATTTCAACGAGCTGGTCACCAAAATGTGTGTTGTATTTCCTTTTTTGAACAAGGGTTGGTTGACCTGACCGTGACCTGACCTGAACTGACCTGATTTTGTCCCGAATCGTCAAATGCCCATCACCATTGACTTTGAATTGGAAAATAACCCATAAAACATGTGTCGCATGCACATAATCCCTTTTTATTCATCATGACCTTTCGTGACCTGACCTTGACCTGACCCGTGACCTTTAAGAACAACATTCGGACAATGTCTAGATCCATCTTGTTGAGATCTTTCCATTGCCGCCTCGTCCGGCGCGCTACGGTCATCCGTTCCCGAGATAGCACCGTCGGTACCATATCAAAGCAAAATGGTATATTTACATGGAGGAAGTAAAAAAATAAAATAAAATATTTATAAAAAATACCTATCTCCAATTTTCACAATATAGTTTTCCAATACCCTAAGCATTAATAAAAGCTAAAAAAATAAATTTTATTTAACTGGCCACACTTTGAAAAATTTGAAAGAAATTTTTGAACAATTTTTTGAAAATTTAAAATTCAAAATTTTGACAAATTTTGCATACCATCTGAAAGCTTGTGATGTGGCGAGTTCAAATATGTATAATTTTTATAGTTTAAAAAAAGTTTTCGATTAGATATAGCTACTAAAATACAATTATGTTTTTTAACTTTCCAAAATTTCCCAATGTTATAACTCAAAAACCGTTGCTCGTACAGGTCTCAAAATCTGAGATTTGGCTTCTGGGCACAGAATAACCTTATACAGCAATTTTGAAGAAAATCTGAGGGGGTCGGGTGTTAATTTGCACCCATGAGCTGTTGAATCGTCCTGGAATGCCCCAGCCGACCCGTGCCGGTCGCCATCCGCCGGCGATCGGGGAGATCACGGCCCGGCGCCATGTTAGCGGTATAGCTGAGCGCCTCCCTCCTCCCCTGTCTCATTCGCAGGCTGTTCAAATCCAGCATGGATTTCGACGACGACGACTCGCAGTTTTCCATGAGCAGCGTACCTTCACCAACGGTGAGCCACTGTCGAATCGTGGACCCCAGTCCAGTCCACCACGGACCGTGGACCCCAGTCCAGTCCACCGTGGACTCCAGTCCGCCGTGGACCCCAGTCCAGTCCGCCGTGGACCCCAGTCCAGTCCGCCGTGTGCTGCAGTCCAGTCCGCCGTGGACCGTGGACCCCAGTCCGGTCCACCGTGGACCCCAGTCCAGCCCACCGTGGACCCCAGTCCAGTCCACCGTGGACCCCAGTCCAGTCCAGTCCACCGTGGACCCCAGTCCAGTCCAGTCCACCGTGGATCGTGGACCCCAGCCCAGTCCACCGTGTGCTGCAGTCCAGTCCACCACGAATACTGCACATTACTTCAGCGGTGACCTGTACCATAGTATCCGCGTATTTACGAGTTGTATTTTACGTATTTGCGACGCATTGACGAGACCTTGCACAATTAGTGAGTGGGTCGCTGCTATACTGCCATTCCACGTGCTGGTGCCGGCCGGCTGCAGACCTAACTGCGGGCTGCGACGGGCACGCGGACGTCGTACGTAGGTACGCACAGGGAGGCGTGTGCTTTGCCGGCTGTGCGGTAATGACTCGCTGCGCTCAGCGCTGGACGGGCTATCGGGTGTTTGTATACGCAGAAAACACCAAACAGAACAGACCGAGGTGCCGCTGACCATTGGCCGATCCAAGAGGGCATTTGGTGCCCACCATCCGCAACGCCCGAAATAGGCGAAAATTTACGGTTTTTTTCGAGAATTAAAAGGAAACAAAACTTCTTAAACAGTAAAAAAATTAAATCTTAAACTTTTATCAAGAAAGGTTTGTTTTAACCCTCGCCGGACCTATTGGTTTTCTTCATAAGCGAAGGCCGAGGGGGGGGGGTACGATCCCCCCCTCGCCGTTTCGCCCCTGGTGGAGCTAGTGCGTCGCGAAAAAAAACGAGCGTGTGCGCCGTTACCAGACGCAGAGATTGATGCCCGATTTTAAGTTCCGAGGTCAACCGGTGACCTCTGAGGTCAGGTCAAGTGCCCCAAGGTAGGTACGGTTCCGTTTTTTGTGGATAACTTCGCAAAAAAACGGTCACAGAGCCGCGATTTTGGCAGCATCATCGTGTTGGCCTCTCTCACGCGCGTCGAATGATATACTTTTTGTTTGGGTGAGGTCAACTTAGGGTGTTAACCTCAGGTCACGGTCAGGTCAGCACCCCCAGGTCACGAAGTTGGTCGAAGGAGGTCATGTCGCATAGCATTCGATTCGGCAGGTCTTTCTGAGTCCATTGGTGGCTTTCCCGACTCGCTAGCTCAATTTGATCGGGGAGTTATTGACGAAAAACTAATATGACGTTGATGACGTCATGAATGACGTCACGCAAGGTCAGAATTGCAAAAGTGACGCATCTTACCTTGCAAGGAGTGCATAAAATCATGATTCTATGTGCTTGAGATAGTTAGAGATCGTTCCCGGCGCCAAAATAGCCGTTTTCATTTTTCCCCATTGACTTATAATGGGGAGGTCACGAAAATGACTGACCTCATATGACCTTTAGGAAACATCCGAGATATAAAAGTTGTGAGACTCGTAATGGATACTAGATCCTGCAAGTTTCATTTCCCTGTGAAGCTCCTCTGGCAGTGAGGGCGTTGCGAAGTTGCGACATCTGAAGACCGTGCAGAGGTTCACTTAGGACGTCATAGGTCAGTGACCTGACCTGACACGAAAATGCGGTTGGTGTCAAAAGATCCGGCTTGAATCAAAAGTCAGGTATGTCAAGTTTCAGCTCTCTATCGCCAACGTGTTCGGAGCTATCGCGAAAAAAAAATCCTATGGGGGGGGGTGACCTGTGTGTGACCTGTGACCTTTGACAAGTGTGACCTGTGACCTGTGACCTGTGACCGGCGGTGCGGCACGTGACCTGTGACCTGTGACCGGCAGTACGGCACGTGACCTGTAACCTGTGACCTGTGACCTGTGACCGGCGGTACGGCACGTGACCTGTGACCTGTGACCTGTGGCCGGCGGTACGGCACGTGACCTGTGACCTGTGACCGGCGGTACGACACGTGACCTGTAACCTGTGACCTGTGACCTGTGACCGGCGGTACGGCACGTGACCTGTGACCTGTGACCTGTGGCCGGCGGTACGGCACGTGACCTGTGACCTGTGACCGGCGGTACGGCACGTGACCTGTGACCTGTGACCTGTGGCCGGCGGTACGGCACGTGACCTGTGACCTGTGACCTGTGGCCGGCGGTACGGCACGTGACCTGTGACCTGTGGCCGGCGGTACGGCACGTGACCTGTGACCTGTGCCTCGCCAGGAGTCGGGAGCGGACGGGCCGCGGACGGAGTCGGAGCCGGCTGGCGGTGCTGCCGGCGCTGCAGCCGGCGGCGGGGGTCGGCGGCCGGCCTCGCCGCGCTCGGACGGCACCGGCTCGCCGCCACTGAGGGCGCCGGCCGCCGGTCGGCTGCCGCCCCTGTCGGCGGCTCCCGGGCTGCTGTCCAGCCAGGTGCGTCACCTTACATACCTACCACACCCGGGGAGCGGGGCACCGGGCCGACCAGTGGTGACCCGAGCCGACCAGTGGTGACCCACCTATTACCTACCACACCCGGGGAGCGGGGCACCGAGCCGACCAGTGGTGACCCGAGCCGACCAGTGGTGACCCACCTATTACCTACCACACCCGGGGAGCGGGGCACCGAGCCGACCAGTGGTGACCCGAGCCGACCAGTGGTGACCCGAACACGCCATCCGTCAGCTCTCCTCTCTGAATCACAGATAAACAGCAGCTCGGAAATGCCATTTGGTTCGGTACCTCACTATCTCGCTGGCCATTACTCTACGCATTAGGTTGTTCAATGACACCTCAATAAGCAGCTGTGTTGTCAATAGCACCGTGCAATGGGTGTGGCGAAATTTCCGACGGCAGTACGCAGCTGTGGCGGGCAGCGTGGCCGGTAGGCAGCTGCGGCCGGTAGGCAGCTGCGGGCAGTAGGCAGCTGTAGGCAGCAGTTTGCTGTGCCGGCGGCGGCTGACGGCGACTGTTCCTCCACCAGGTGATCGCCTCCTCCACGGGCGCCATTATCGCCGTGGCCAACCCGGCGCTGACGCTGCCGGCCACCTCTCAGCCGCTGGCGCTCGTCACGCACGCCAAGCTGGAGCGCGTCAGCAGCGAGCTCACCACTGCACGCGTGAAGACCGAGCCAGCCGTGTCGGCCGGCCGGCGCCGGCTCGGCGACCGCGGCGTCCTCTGACGGCCGACAAGCAGCGCCGCGCAGCGGTCAACTGCCGAAGCTGCCCAGCAGCACCTGTGATACCCATACCCACGTTGAGCTGGACCCCTGCTCGCCGTCTTCAGAAGGTGCACAGCATCCTGCATTAAAAACACCGGCGCTGGTGTCTGGAAGGACTGACGGTGATTTCGACGCACTGGTCCGGCGTCCAGGAAGGCGCCGTGTTTTGTACCTTGGCCGGTAGGCAGCGGGCGGTGTTCCGGGGAGGCGGACAGCCCGGCTGCCTGGTCTCTGGTCACCGGCCCAAGGTCAGTCCCGTGAGAACGACCCCCAGCGGGTCTCTAATGTCTACACTCACAGTGAGCTTAGCAGCCGGCCTATCTAATAGGTGTCAAAGTGTGATGGATCTCGGAGCTCGTCTCGTTACGGCTCGCGCCCGCCGCGTGTGCTCCCCGTGTGTGCTCCCGATGTGTCGTACCCGCCCGCCGTATGTGTTCGCACTGTGTGTTCCTGTACTCCGTCCGGCGCCGAACTGTGGGCTGCGTCTGTGTACCCTGTGGCAATACGTGTCGTCTGTGGTCCGGACTGAACTGCGAGGAAGCGGCAGGTCGCCGACCTCTGGTCGGGGGTGCAGCGCAGCGCTGCGTCCCGATGTCGGCGCCCGGACCGAGGAGCTGGTCAGACGGCGAGCGCTATATGTGAGGCGGCTCGTCCAGAGACGAACGCTGCAGTTGAAACACCAGCTGAGCCGGAGTCACGCGGTGATCGGAATCTCGGGACCAACAGGGCCTGGGGGGGGGGGGGGGTGAATCGTCTCCAGAGGCCGGCAGCGAGCAGTGTCGGTCGGGGGGGAGTGGGGGGGGGGGCCGTCTGGGTGACGGTGCCGGGCCCCGGCTGCCGCCCCGGCCGCGCTCAGAGTTTCGTTTTGTCCCCTGCAGGTGGCGCTAGTGGGCACCTGGCGTTCACACAGGTAATCTGACGCAGCGTGTCACATGTGCCGCCGCGCCCCGCGGATCTGTCAGTGTGTCTGTCTGTCTGTGTCTGCGCGAGTGAAATGCACTGTCAGATGGATTTCCTTCTTTGCGACATGGCAGCATGCAAAAGTCATCAAGAAATTCGACTGGATACCACCCGCCATTGAGCGATGATGGAGGGGGGAGGGGAGGGGAGGGCATTTAGCGTCCCTGCTGCCTATTTGCAATAACTCAAGAACCCGCGCCCCGCTGCAGGGCTCCTGGAGTTTCACGCCCTGCTGGGGGATCTTTGAACACCCCGCCCCTTCTATCTCTGATCCTGGGACACACGGCGACACTCAGAAGGCGGCGTTCGAAAGAGCGCAAAAAAATAACGGAAAAAAAAATAATTCAGTCAAGTTCGGTCAACAAAGTCATCAACGGTCACATTTCGCCGATTGCAATTCATTCAATTCATATATTTAGCAACTTTCCACCTTACAGTGACTGTTTAAAAATTACCTACGCAGGGCTGCAGAGTCGATGGATTTACGGCGACTCCGACTCCGACTCCGACTCCGGCTTTCAAAAACCAGCTCCGACTCCCACTCCGACTCCGGGCAGAAATGTCAACTCCGATCGACTCCAACTCCCGACTCCGACTCCGCACACCTGGCAGGGCTGCGGAGTCGACAGATTTTCGGTGACTCCGACTCCGACTCCGGCTGGGGTTTCCAATATCGACTCCGACTCCGACTCTGACTCCGGTCACAACTGGGGCATTCCACGATAGATCGTACCACTTCTTTCGAATTTGACACCCTCATCTCTCGGATTTTAACGATAATTGGTCTAAGGGGTAGGTAATCAGGGGCTCTGAATCCTCCTGTAACAATTTCAAGCTAATCAGATGAGTGGTTTTTTGAGTTATAGTGTATAACATGTTTTGGATCTTGCGTTGCAGCCCCAAGTTTGGCGGGCTGTAACTCTAAGACGGATAATCCAAATGCCAAATGCTATACGGCATTAAACTTGCATTGAAACAAAGAATAATATGCATTTTCAAAATTTTGAAATATGTATAGGGGATTCGGGGAAGGTGGGGTAAGACGGACCAGCTAAGGTTTGAGGCCGCATATCTTGCTACACTGCTCTCGTAATTCATATTATTTATAGTCTTCGGAATGCTCAATCCTTCCTCTGTTGATATGTGTAAAGACTAAATTTCAAATTAAAGACAGCTAGGTGGTGGATGCTCTTAAAGAGGGACATGTCAAAAGCTCAGTCAAGAAAAAACGTGGGGTAAGACGGACCACCCAGCAGTGCCTGCTATCCGTTCATGTGTGTTACACTTCTGCTCTGTGCTCTTGTAAGAAAAAGTAACCAGAATGGTAAAATAACAAAATTAGCCTTCATTCTTTACTCATGTGTGATGGAAGTGCAGCCAAAAGCTGGGAACATGTGTGTTGATTGTCGTTTGGCATGAATGCATGCTAACTGAGCACTTACATGCATGGCTCACATGCAACAAAGATTCCTTCCTGAAAAATTAGCTTACTTAAACTTGTGTCAATGTTTTGGAAAAGAACTTTCCATATGCAGGGTACAATGGACCACCACAGGGTAAGATGGACCACAGTGGTCCGTCTTGCCCCAAATCCCGCCCGTTCCGCGGGCGTCGTCCCCGGCTGTGTCACCAGGTGTGGGGTAGGCTCCCACTTCAGCCGTAGCCTGGGGGGTGGGGGTACAAGGGCCAGGAGGAGGAGGAGCCCTCCTGTAAATGGGCCATAAGTGCCCGTTGGAGGGAGGCCTGAATAAAAAAAAAATCTAAATTCTGTCATTATCATGACGTATATGTCAAATAGCCCAACATTGCAAAACCTTGCCTTTCCTAAAGTGTGACTATAACTAAGTTTATAACTTTGTTCTTCACAGTAAAGTGCAAAATAGAAACTAATCATGCAGGAAAGGCGCCGTAATTGAATCACCCGTAGACCTCTTATATTAGATCGGTGTGACGAAAAACAACATTTTTCTCAATAACTCAAAAGCTATGCATCCTAGCAGCATGAGCTCAAGGTGGCCATTGTTACGAAGGAAAACAAACATAGTGAGTGCATAAAGCAGTAGATACCAGCAGCGGTTCAGCCGGGAGGGCTGGTGGTCCGTCTTGCCCCGCTGGGCCGTCTTACCCCACCTTCCCCTACACTATTTTTGATATATAACACCTCGAATTTCCTTTAATTTGCATTTTTATGCCTTTGGGACCAAATATTTTTTGAATTTTTATTTACTTAAAAACATTTTTGGATCATTTTTAAGTAGTATGCAAAAAATTAGGAAGGTGTTCTTTCTATAAATGTAGGTACTTTTTTGCGTCACCGTAATGGTCTCGAATTGTGATTTCGGAAAAGAGCCTACAAATGGTGTGGTAAAGCTGCCTAGTGACATCACTGGTTACTGAAAGTTCAGTTGAAGTCATTTTCGCCTCACTTTTGCATTGTTGATCTTTCGTGACGTCATTCGTACGTCACTAGGGTCATAAGAGTTTTTCGTCAATAACTCTCGATCAAATTGAACTAGAGAGACGGGAAAGCTACCAATGGACTTGGAAAGACATTGCAAATCGAATGATGTGCAATATGATCTCATTCACTCAGCTTCGTGGCCTGACCCGACTGTTAACCATCTCTGTAGCGGCGCTGTTTGTCCAGCGCCGCGCTGGTTGGCTTTGCCGCGGACTCGAGCGGTTACGTGATGCCCGGGGGCTGGCTGCCGGCTGGGCCGCCCGGTCGGGGCGCGGAGCCAAATACACGGCAGTGTGCTGACCCGAGGTTAGCGACTTAACCCTCGCCCGCACATGGGGGGGGGGTGGTTGCCACCCCCCCCCCAGGCAGTCTTTCTGCTCTGCACTCAACATTTTTAGAGCTAGAAGGCTGATTTTTCGTATAGCTGCTCGTCTATCCTTTCTTGATGTCCACTGAAAATTTCAAGTTTCTGTGTTTTTTGGTTTCGGAGATATGCCCTTGTTTTTCAGGTCATGTCATGACCCAAATGGCCAATTCTCAACATCTTGCGTTTGCCATGGGCCTTGTGAGCTTTTCACACCCTGATTTCGGCCTTTTCTGCCAGTCTTACCTCCCACCTATCATGGAACATGTTGTTCGACAATGTACGGGGGTCAAGGTCAGGGTCAAGGTCAACCTAGGTCATCTAAGATAATTGCGTTTTAGGCAAGCTGAATTTACTTTTTGTGAAGTTTTTTGACTGCATTTTTGGTAAAAGCTTCTCAGATCATGATTTCATGTGATATGGACCCAAAAACAATCGGTGCACACATCAGTATACACACAGACACACACAGACATACAAACACATATAACTGACCTTGACCTAACTTGACCTGAAATGACCTCAGCAGCAAAATTCTGGTCGGATAGTGTGACAAAGAGGTTCTAGCTGGCTTGGCACCAGAAAACAGCATCGTCATCGGTATTTGATAAGCAGCGCACTTGATATCCAACGGTGACCCAAAACAGCAACATTTTTTAGTTTGACCTGACCTGGAAGGTCAATGACTGACCTGAGAAGGTAAAACTGGGTATCATTGGATTCGTCTCTTCCCAAAGAATCTTTTTGGTCTTTACTGCTAAGCTCTATCTCCAACAGGAACGAAATGGCGCGGGGGGGGGGTGGCAACCACCCCCCCATGTGCGTTCTAGGATGGGAAAATGGCATGTGCGGGCGAGGGTTAAGCTGACTTCACCAGAACAAACAGTATACCATTCGACGCGACGGAGCTAGGCAAACACAAAGATGCTAAAATCGCGGCTCTGCGACCATTTGTTGCGAAGTTATCTATCAAAAACCGGACCCGTAATTTGGGTCACTTGAAATGACCTCAGGGGTCACCAATGAAACCGAGACCTTAAAATGTGGTATTATTCGATGCATCTTGTAACGGCGCACATGCTCGTTTTTTCCGCAAGGTTCTAGCTCCATTAGGGGCGAAACGGCGAGCTGGGGTCGTACCGACCCCCGGAAACTCATTTTGTATACTTTTAAATGAGGGACTTATAGAAAGAACACCTTTCTAATTTTTTGCATGTCGATTTTCAAGGACCTGAGGTTTATTTTGAAAAAAAAAATAAGAATGGCAAAAATTTTGGTCCCAAGGGCCATTATAGACAATTTAAAAAATACTACGACTTTTTTCAATATGTTAAGCTTTTCTTTCCAATTTTAAAAATACTGTATTAATCTTTGATTCATTGTTAGTTCAAAGCTGTTTACTGTTTGTTGCTTGCTTAGCTCGTTTTTGAGTTATAGCTCATCAAACTCACCCTTACAATCTGAAGTTTAGAAAATATTATGCAATGTAACTCAAAAAGTTTTGATCTGAGAAGTCTGATATTTTGACAGGTGTTTTTGGAGCCTATGATTATCCCTTGTACCAATTTTCATTCAAATCTGAGAGATGAGGGTGACGGGCCTGGTATGGTCTATCGTGGAATGCCCCAACTGTCGACTCCGACCGACTCCGACTCCGACTCCGACTCCGACTCCGCAGCCCTGCGGCTACACGTCTTGTGAATAAAAAGGTGGGACATAAAACGAGATGACAATAAAAGGATGACATGAAAACACACACACACACACACATCAGACACCCCCCCCCCCCCCCTACACACACACACCATCACCACCACAAGGGTCAGAGGTCAATCGGCCAACCAGACACATTCGTAGGTATCATCGCCTCATGTCATCGTCTAGAAGAAAATATTTAAGACGGCGCTTGAACTGATAGATATATGCTGGGCATTACGCACATGAGGCGGGA